TGTACTTTCTAGCCTTTCAGGAATTTCCTTACTTACCAGTTCAATCAAGCATTGAAAAAGATTAAATACTCTCTGTAGCTTTGTTACGGATTTCTCTGAATCTCTGGTCAGCCAGATGGCCCTGGCATTTACTTCTTTGAACTAGAAGGTAAGTTTGGCATGATGGCTTATGCCTACGTGTATAATTCTGCTACTCTGGGAGGCTGAGGTGGGAGGATTAATTTAGTCCAGAAGTCTGAGGCTGCAGTGAGCTATGACAGAGCCACTGAATTCCAGCCTGGGCAACAGAGTGACACCCTGTCTCTAAAATTAAGTAGGAAGTTAAGAGTCATAAGCTGTGGATAAAGGGAGGAAAAAAGGGTTTGCTAGACAATGGAAAAGGTGTGAACTAGGGTATAATGGGAAAGCAAGTTGGAGGACACTAATAAGCAAAGACATGATGGCATCCAAGAAAGCTCATGGTATAGGAAGAGATGACCTGACAGACCTCAGAGCACTTGAGCTATATAGTATTCTTACATCTAGTACATATTAGCCACATAACCTAGGAAAAATTACACCCCTCTTCCACTTATTTCATGGGGATTGTGAAGGTAATTTCATAAAGTGTTTTGAAAATCAATATATAATTATAAGGCATTATTATGTCTCCTGCCATAGATGTTTATCTGAAACTCTGGCCTCACAAATAGTCTCAGTAAAAACAAGAACAAATTAGTGAACAAAACATTGCTTAGTAGATTCAGATAAAAACAGTTTATAATCACAGTTATGGATAAAAGTCAACACTGAACTAATCCTCTATTTCCATTAAATAGTAGCTGATTCATGATATGAGACTTGTTTTATAAACTTTTCTATTTAGTAGAATTTGTTGAAACAAAATTAGCAAAGCCCTAATTAATATGGGCCATTTGCTGACATAAATAGTTTTGTTAAGCAAAACTCTGTTCTATAAAATCTTTTAGGCAGAAAAGATTATAGACAGTGCATAAATAATTTACCTCAAATGTCCATTGAAAAAAAATTAACCTCCACATACTAGATGGCTAAATATTTTCCGGATCTTTTATATTATTATTCAATATTATATCATCACCATTGTTGTAATTGCTATGGGATTAAAAATATGATAAAATAACTCATCCTCAAGGAATTTCCATTAGGTGGTCAAAGTGTTACGTTTTGTGGGATATCACAAAACATAACAAAATCAACGTATCTATAAATTGAATTACATGTTATTGCAAGTGCCACCCATATTTTAAAGACTATATCCATTAGCAGAGATAATAACAGCATCCATGAATGTAAGAGTTAAGGTTTTGAATTTAATTTTCCTAACTGTTTTGGCATTTTGATTAAGTCACTGTATTTTATCCTGATTAAGCAACTGGCGCTCATATTACAAATATAAGGAAAAAGTATCAATATGTTGAATATGAACTCATTGATTCTCACATGTATCACAATACTCCAAAGATGGTGCACTTCCAACTGTTGTTTTAAATACTTCCACATGTTCTGATGGTGAACAGGATTAGTTTTACAGAGTGAGGTCTTCTCTGGTAAAAGTACAAGAGTGTGAACCCTTTTATGGTGAAGTTCATGTTCTACTGATCTTGTCAGAAAAAGTTTAATATACATGCTTTTAAGTTTAGTGCAAAGGTTTTTTTCCTCCTCCTCTGCTTGTAGGAGGCTAAGTATGAGAAGCCTAATTGTTTCAGAAAGAGCTACTATCCCTTATTGATTCCATTTCAGTGTAGTCACCAAAGCAAAGTTGTTTAGTCCTTAACTTTTCAAAAGCATGGTGAGTTTTAGAACAAAATGTGTTCAAAGTAGTAATAGTTAACTTTGCAAACTTCATTTTTATACTGCTCCAAGGTTCTTTATAACTAGGTCCTTAAAGTTACTTTAAACTAGTTAGAAATAGATCAACAAATGCTTTACACAAAAGAAAAATGGAATTTCTATTTAATATGACAGATAGTAAAGACAAGTTAGTAATTAAGCAGCACAACTTGAAAAAAATATAGGAGCTTTTAGTTTAAAAAATTAAGTATCAGGGCGGCGCCTGTGGCTCAAAGGAGTAGGGAACCAGCCCCGTATGCTAGAGGTGGTAGGTTCAAACCCAGCCCCGGCCAAAAACTTGCAGGAAAAAAAAAATTAAATATCGGGTTAAGTTTTGTATTTGTCACCACATAGCCTTTCCCTACCACTGGGCTATGATATGAAGAACTTTCTAGGAAAAGCTTTATTAATTTAGGATAATTAATGGGAAGTATATTTCTAATTGCCTGGAATTGAGATAAAAATTTAAATTCCAATACTATTAAAGTCAAGTTCCCATGGATTTTCTCTAATGAACAGGGAAGTGATTCCTGGTTAAGATATCTCCTTGGGGCAGCCAGATAGCTCACACTTGTAATCTTAGCATTCTAGGAGGCCTAAGCCTCATTTGAGCTCAGATGTTTGAGACCAGCCTGAGTAAGAGGGAGACTCCATGTCTTCTAAAAACACAAAATTTAGCCAGGCATTGTGGCAGGCACCTGTAGTCCTGGCTACTCAGGAGGCTGAGCCAAGAGGATGGCTTGAACCTAGAAGTTTGCAATTGCCATGAGGTAGGCTGATGCCATGGCACTCTAGCCTGGCAACAGAGTGAGGCTTTTGTCACAAAAACAATAGTTAAAAAAAATTCTTTTTAAACAGATTTTCCAAAAAGTTGCAAATCTGTTGTCTTAAGTACAGTTATGTGTCCTAAAATTGTTAGTTTGATTATAAAAGGACAAGGATAGACTAACAATCCATACTCATTTTAGGAGACACTGCAAAAGAAAAAAGCTTAAGCTCAACTTTTTCCCATGTTATATTTTTTAAGTTAATAGACTTTTATTGCTTTTAAAAAAATTACATCACACAAACAAAAGATTCTTTTAACAGAAAGACTTTCAGACTTTACTTCCTCATGGGGGGAGCATGGGGGAGACACAGGGGGGCTTTATCTAAGAAATGCAATCAGTGTAACCCAATTCTTTGTACCCTTACAGAATCCCAAACAATAAAAATACTTCGTCACTAGCTTGCAATACTAGCAATCAAAAGCCTGAAGACTCAGTCTAGATAATGTGTTGTGTATTTTGTACTGTAGAAGCATACTTTCAGAATTTTGAGCTTAAACATAGCTGCTTTTCCCCTATAGTGATAGTGTTTAGCCACTTTGTTTACCTTGGGATGAGAGATACTGACTGGGAGAGTCAATGGGAAAATTCTCACATCTTAATCTGGGTGGTGGTAATGTACAGTGTATGTAAAATCCCATCTAGCTGTTCGTTTAAGATTGTGCACTTTATGGTGCATATATACCTCAAGAAGTAAAAAGAGTATTTACCTACTTTATGAGATGTCTACCAACTATTTTATGATGAATCATTAAAATGATTTTGTAAGTCAAAGTATATCGGTGAAACCAAGTTATCTGATGTTCAGGGCACAAAGATTGCTAGTCACTTTCAGGTAAATTACATCTGAAGCTAGAGTAAGGCTTCAGGGATGACAAGTCACTAACATCCTTTCAGAAATGGTGGCAGGAAGAATACAACGTTTAACTATAAAGAAGTGTGATAATAGCTTTAAACAACTGGAGGATCAGAACATCCTCAGATAAGTGACATAACTATGGCGTGATTATCTGATTTATGATTACTCATATTTTTATTTTGCTTCTTACTGTTCAGGCTTTTGTTTACTGTATTGTTTAAGCTCCCAAAGAATAGAGGATAAAAAAGAATTTAAGTTAAATTAGTTTTGTCACTATTTCAACTGTTGTTTTCAGTGAGCTACATAGCGGCTACTGCTGTGCTTTTAAAATTATGCGTTCTACTTCCTATTTATTAAAAGAGAAAAGAGCTGGTTTATGAAAAAATATAAACACTTAATTTGCCTCAAATGTTTTAACTTTTGCTTGGAACTACATTAATTCTCATCACCTCCAAAAGCCTTTGAGAGGATTAGCTACACAGACCAATATTGTTCTATATTAGTCAGTATTAAGCATATGATGTCACCTTGTTTCCTCCCTTCCTCCAGCTTTTCTTTTTTTCGGGGGGGGGGGGAAGGGAAATTTTGTCGGGCTATTCTGAAAATCCTGTGGCTTAAACACCACAAGCTGACACAGATGACTGACACCTTCCACTCCCAAACCTGTTTGAAATGGGTCAAATACCTAAGCGCTGCAGAACAATGCAATCCACCAGCAATTCCCCATCAAAGAGAAAGGGGGTGTGATTAGGTTCCAGATATCACTGCAAGTTACTGCAAAAAAACAGTTTGGTTTGCTCCTGCAGTGGGCACGGATTAAGCTAGTATTTTCTCTCTTCTTTAGCGCCAAGAAACGCTATGCTGTAAGAAGCAAAATAAATCTCCAAAGCCTGCAGCATCAGGACTCACTTTACAGGCTGCCCGGAGACCCTCCGCTGCCCCTCGGCCTCGGTGAGCGACCACCCGCCCTGCCGGGCGACTATCGAGCGGAATTGGCGTGAGACTTCTCGAGCCCCAGGAAAGGAGATGCGAGAGGGAATAGAAGCTTCTAAGAAAAGCAACGCAGCAACAATAGCGGAGCAGCAGCTCCGCGGTGACGTAATGGCTGGCGGCGGGCCAGCTCCCGCGGAGCCACCGCGTCCCGGCGCCCGGCCTCCCTCCCCGCGGCCCGGCTCCGGCGCGGCCGCCGGGGCTGCTGCTCCGCGCGTTGGCACTTGGTCGGTGCCACCGACGCCTCCCTCTGAGGCCCAGGACAGTGAACAAAGGGCTGTCCCGCCGTCTGAAGTGGACGGCTCGCACGTACTCTCCCTCGCCCGCCACCCCGCAAGCACCTCGGCAACCGAGTCGACTCGCCGCCTAAGTTCAGGGCGAACACACCGGCGCACGCCCGCGCGGGCCCCGGTGCGCCTCTTCCTGCCCGCCCCGGCCCCGCCGGGCCCCGCGCGCCGGTGCTCCCGCCTTACCTCCGCCAGGTAGAGGTTGAGGAGACAGAGCGTGGAGAACTGGAGGCAGGAGGGGAAGCAGTAGAGCAGCCAGTGGGGGAAGAAGTGCAGGTGAGCGGGCGGCCGGAGCAGGGGCAGGGAGCCGCTGAGCGAGAAGGCGGCGGAGAACAGGGTGGTCCTGAGCGCTGCCCACAGCAGACAGAGGAAGAGGCAGAGGCTCTGGTAACTGAGCCGCCGCTCGCGGTACAGGAGCAGCCGCCACAGCTGCAGGTAGGCGAAGGCGAAGAGCGCGGCGTAGAGCACGGCGTGCAGGACGCTCAGCGCCAACTGCACGGAGCCCGGCACCGCGGCGTCTGAGGCGGCAGCGACGGCTCCTCCGCCTCCGCTGCCCCCGCCGGGCGTCGAGGGCTCGCGGCCGGCCGCGGGGGCGGCGGCGGCCGCCGGACCCGGCACGGACACCCTCATGAGGGGGCTAGGGGGCTGGCGACGGAGCGCGGGAAGGAAGGGGCCGGACTCGGAGCCGCCGTCGAGGGGGAAGACTGCCCCCTTACCCCCCACCCACCCCTGCCTCCAACCCCAGGAAGCGCCGTGACGGGACCCGGCGTCCCGCGCAGAGCGGCCGCGGTTCCCCCCGACCCCGCCTCCTCCCCCCACCCCCCGGGGGTCTCGGCTCCTCCTGCTGCGGCTCGGCTCCGTAGCTGCAAAAAACAACTCTCGGCTGGAGACAATCAGCTGAGAAACCCGAGCATTTGAGGCGCTCGCTCCGCACTGTGGGCTGGCGCCGATTGGCTCATGCGGGCCCGCCCCCTGAGCGCCGTGTTCGGAAGGCCACTGGCCACAGAACCGGTCGCTCGGGAGTTCCGAGATCTGATTGGGTGTCCGCTTTGCCCGCTTTCTCCCTCCCTCTCCTCTCCACCCACGCCGCTGATTGGCCCACCTATTGCACCTCCCATTCGCGCCGGCGGGAGTACAGTCTGTCGTCAGGGGCGGCTCTCGCCCCGCCCACCGCACTTCCTATTGGCTGGGGAGCGCCTCACGTAGGGAGCACGTGGAGAAGGAGGAGCTTCACGAGGTGTTTTTGGCCCCGGAGGTTGGCTTCGCTGGCCGGTGGTGGCCGCTGCCGGGAGCCCAGGGGCCCTGCGTTCTCGCAGGTGGCCGAAGCGGTTCCCTGCTACTTGGGTAGCTCGTCACGGCCCCGCCTTCCGCATCCTTCTCTGTGGTTCGTTGGCGGGAACGGTCGACCGTGCGGCCTGGAGGACCGCCGGGTCCCTTCCCGCAGGTGGTACACGCAGGTCTCGGGCAGGTAGGTGGCGGCGCGGATCCTGCCTGCAGAAGTGGGGTTCAGACCCAGAGGGTTTTCTCCAGCTATGGCCGCACCCCCCAGCCCAGGAGCCTGGTACTGCACGCCCGCATTGGCCTTGGGCCCGGAGCGGCCTCACCCAGAGTCTGTTTTGCTTTTGTCGCTTCGTGAGCGCGGGAAACATGTGAACCCTTTCCGAGGCGAGGGCAAGGATGGAGGCGATGGGTAAACCGAAGCTATTAAGTAAAAGACCCTGCGTAGGGAAATAAATGTCCCCCAGGAAGAATAGTGTCAGCTTACGTTGTTGAAACCATCTCTGAATTAGCGCTTCCTTGAAACTTAAAATTTGGGACCATGATAGGGCGTACGTTTAGGGGAAAAGGCGGAAACAGACCTGCAGGTGTTAGATGGTTCTCTGGAGAGGAAATAAGAGTGGTCCGTGTGCCTTAAACCCTACAAGTCTGGAATGCCTATGCTTGGGGCATATTGCTGATGGTGGCGCTGCGCCTGAGCTGAGAGAACATGAATGCTATGTTACCGGATTGCTGCAAACAGTCCAGGGATAAGCAGACCTCCCTAATGTGTATTGGACCGACGTGTAACATTTGTTGGCTTTAAAAAAAAAAAATTGGTAATAAAATGAGCAAAATAGTGCAAAATGAAGAGGAAATAATTTGTGTTTGGCATGTTACAAATTCAGTATCCTACATTTACTGGAGCAGTCAAGACCCAGCCTTTCCTACCTCACCATCCTTTGTCCCCTGCTTGCTCAGGAAGAGTGTTGCTCTCTTTGGACTTTAATGTCTGTTTTGTACTCCAGATTCTGAAACAGTGGTTCACCTGGGTGCCAGATGCTGGTGTGGTTTGAGTTTTCTTTACAGGTGTGCCGGCAAATTGTGATAAACATAGGAGCCTGGCACTGTGAAGGGACAGTGTTCAGATGAAACATTCAGAGCAGTGCAGTGGACAGAAGTTAACAGGCCTCATCCAACATCTGTGCTCATGTTTATTGAAATTTAAGAACTTCACCTCCTGGATTCTTAGAGAATGCGGTCAGGGCAGTACACAGTTCTCTTCAAATAGGGAACAAGTGCTTGTGACAGCAGTGAGGTAATTGATTATAGTCGTGTGCTTAAGCACAAAATCAGAGTTGTTTTAGGCACTTGTAAAAATTGGGGAGACCACATAGTCTCTGGCATAGCCTATTTTTGTATCTTCCATAATCAGGGAGATGCAAATTTTAACTGGTGAGTAGACTTTTTACCCTAAAGGGGTATTTCTTTTTCTCCCTATTCTCCACTTAAGATGATAGTAAACATCCAGATAATAAACTCATACTGATTTTAGGTCTTTGCCTATGAGACTTTCCCCCCATATGTCAGAACAAGTCTGGATGGCCTCCTCCTTTCTACTTCCCTTTTCTGGGGATGAGTGTGGGGAGTGCAAATACAAGTGTTAAATAATAAACTGTATTGAGATATAATCAACATTTTTTTTTTTTTT